CAGGACCCTTTTCATTTATATGTGGACTCAAATAATCAAAGTTGGTCTTTTCTGGTTCTTTTCTTCCTTCAGCTGTTTGGAATAAAGTAACTGAATTCAAGTCATTTTGCACGACAGATTATTTTGATTTTTCCTGCCATAAATTCTTTCTATATTCACCAAAGAAAACTACATAAGAACTAGTGTAGTCTAGAGAAGGATGATTAGCAGTGTGATTCATATTGTATGTTCACATTATTTGTGTTTTAGGGATTTCTTGGACATGGCCTAATGACACACTACATGTATATTTGTTCTTTCCTTCTCTATTCCTTTCAAAGCCCAGGGAAGGTTTGTTATATGATCCCAGAATTCATATGCTACAAAGTTAATCTATGTTGGTTGATGGTATTCAGTAGGAGCTGTTCAGGTCATGAATGTTCCATCCTCACACATAGATTATTGGTGTTATTGTAAAATTGGGTTTTCAATAAATATGTTTTTGATCTCTCTCAATTTCTTTATTTGCCCTTCTGCCACAGCAAAGCCAGTTTTTTTAAAAAGTTTTATTTAAAGAGAAAAAGAAACAAAACAGAAAAAGAGTAGAAATAATATATAATTTCAAAAAAATCACTAGTTGATAAATTACATATTGTCCTCTTATAAATAGTTGTTCAAGTTACAAAAGTTAAGCATAGAAAGTAGACATTCAAACTGCGAGACTGCAGACTATTATGTTCAAAGATCCAACAAAAACTTAGTAATATGGTTATCAATCCTACACACTCAACATACCTGCAGTTATATCCTTTAGAGCATTTTCTTTTCCTCTCTTTTTTACAACAGCAATTACACATTTTGAGTTTTATTACTCCTAAGTTCTTATTTCTTTTTGTACTAAAGACACAATGTGATATTTACAAATGATTCTCATTTATTTCACTGAGGATAGTTTCAAGTTGTCTCCTTTTGTCTATGAAGGCCTCAAGATCATCCTTTTTATAGCTGAATAGTATTCCATTGTATAAAAATACCACATCTTTTCATCCACTCTGCAGTTGATGGACATCTTGGTTTTTTCCAAGATTATTACAAATTGAGCTGCTATGAACATGGGTGCACATATATCACTGTGATATGACCTTATCAGTTTTTCTGGGAAAATAACTAGGAGGGGAATAACTGGGTTCAATGGAACTTTCAATCCTAGTCTTCTGAGAAATCTCCATACTGATTTCCACAGTAGTTGCACTCCCAGCAACAATGGAGCACTGTTCATTTTTCTCCCACAGCTTCACCAACATTTGTTATCAGTTGATTTCTTGATGGCAGCTATTCTTTCCAGAGTGAGACGAAATCTCAATGCTGTTTTAATTTGCATTTCCCCAATGACCAGTGATGGTGAACATTTCTTCATGTATTTATTTGCCATTTGTATAAGCTTCATCTGAGAACTGTGTGTTCATCTCAGATGCCCATTTTTGGAGAGGAACTTTGAATTTGGGGGACTTGATGTTTTTCAGTTCTTTATATGTTCTGGATATAAGACGTGTTTGCTGGCTAAGATTCTTTCCCATTCTGTGGGTTTTCTTTTCACTCTGTTGGTGATTTCTTTTGATTTTCAAGTTTGTTTTTTTTTAAATCGGTACCAGGGATCGAACTCACAACTGCGTGCTTGCAAGGCAGGCACTTATGCTGCTGAGCTAAATGCCCAGCCCCCTGTGATTTCTTTTGAAGTGCAGAAACTTTTCAATAATATGAGATTCCAGTTGTTGATACTTTGAAGTGTTTCCCACGCAGTTTGCATTTTGTTCATGAATTCTCTGCCTACTCCATGTCTCCAAGACTTATATGTACCTTGTCTTCCAGTAGATTTAGTGTTTCTGTTTTAATATTTAGGTCTTTGATTCACTTAGACTTTAGATTTGTGCATGGTGATAGGCATGGATCTAGTTTCAGTCTTCAGCATGTGGAGAGCCAATTTTTCCAACACCATTTATTAAAGAGGATATCCTCCTTCCAGTGAACATGGAAGAAGGATAGCCCCTTTGTCAAATACAAGGTGGCTGAGTGTCTTTGTATTTGTGCTTGCATCTTCTAATCTGTTCCATTGATCCTCAAGTCTATTTCCTTGCCAGTAGCATGCTGAATTCATCACTGTGGCTTTGTAGTAGTTTCAAGTCAGGAATTGAGATGCCTCCTGCCTTGCCTTTTTTGTCCAGAATTACCAGCAAAGGCAGTTCTAAAAGGGAAGTTTGTAACTATTACTGCCTACATCAAAAAAATCAGAGAGGTCTCAAATATCATAAAAATGCATCTTACAAAAACAAAGCAAAACAACAAATGAAGGAAAATATAATAAAGATCACAAATGAAATTGATAAGATAGAGGCTAAAATAACAATACAGAAGCTCAATGAAGCAAGAGTTGGTCTTTAAAAAGACAGGCAAAATTGATAAACATTTAGCCAAACTACTTGAAAGAAAGAAGACTGAGATCAATATAATTAGAGATGAAAAAATATAGAACAGATGTCATTGACATCTAGCTTGTTAATGAGCATCTCTATGCCTTAGTAGTTTTAACATGAAGATATATACATTAATATCTTTTAGAATAAAATAGTAATAATCGTAAGCCAATGCCTCACGCCATTGAAAGAAATAAATATAAAATTTGATGTAAAATATTCAATAAAGTTTAATAAAGGTGCGTTAGCATTATTACTACTGTCTATATATCACTGACATAAAATTGTTGAATAACTAACAACTACACACCACATTCTGGTAACAAATTACTAAATAATCATATCTATGATACATTTTATAAAAGGAATTCAATTAAAAATTGTGCTTGATGCTGCCACACTATTCCTGAACTTTCTTGCTCTTAATTAGCTACCCCAGAACAAAACAAAAACAAAGACAATACTATAATTGTCTGAATATTCTTCTCTTTGGAAAATCACGGTTTTTTGTTTTGTTTTCTGCAGCTCAAAAATGTCTTCTTTCTAATCCTTTTATCATAGTTATTTGATGATATGCTAATGTGAGTCACATAAGAAATTCATAAAACAAACTTATTTCCAACCTACTTTATCTTCATAGCCTATTTTTCATACTTTATTTTAACACTGTTTGTAATGATAGTAGCTAGAGGTTGCTTCCCCACGATTAAACTGTTGGATGTTTGAGGGAAAAGACTGATCTTTTTTTCATGAAATGTCTTGCTCCAACATCTGTATGGTTAAATAAATGAGTGAAAGTTATTTTTCAAAAGATACTTACCTTATTCTGGGTCATGTATACACTATTTTTTTGCATGGAAAATTTTTGATTTCTCCTTCTTGACTCAGAATTTAACCCAGTTAAAGATTTTTGCGTGTTCTATGACTCTCCCTGTAATCTGACAGGGGCCTGGCTTGGGACTAGACTATAATACACCACTGATAATATATCAAAATTAAAAAAAATAAATGGCATCAGAAATTCTGATTTTGTTTATATTAGCTGACTAGATATGTTAAACCTGCAGGCTCATTCCCACTATATGTGGGAAATTAGTAAAGTCTTCAACACAGGATCAGTTTTCTTCCTATTCACCAATATCCCTTCTGTCCCAATTGCGGCAACTCAAATTTGACTAGGCTGAGTTCCATTGGTTTAAAGACTGATAATATTTTTTTATCAGAGAAAAAAAAATTGTATCTCAAGCATATAGACTTTCAGTAAACCATCCAGGCAACAAAAGCATACTATTTCACTAATTGCACTGTAAAATTGTTGAGTTACAGCTTTTTCCTGAAATTATTCACGTAAGAAAAGTTATAAGTATTATAAAGTGTATTAACACAAAATGCTTTCATAATTTATTGTCCAGTGCCTATTAAAACATTTTGTCATACAAGAGCTATGTACCCTAAAATATTTTTACATGACTGTGCAAAAATCAATGAAGCCACATTTTCAAAATAGAATCATCAATTACCAATATGAGTCTATTTCATTTAATCACCCTGTCTGTGAATTGATGTTTTAGAGAAGCCACAGGGATGCAGCAACTTGAGAGAGAGAAACTGGAAAGTGAAAAGCTTAGCATAAATATCTTCATTTTGATGTAGACAGAAAGAAACTATGATTGCCAAGGGCAAAATACATAAAACTGCACGTGGTTGAATGCATAATAGGCCTTAACAATGCAAGCTATTTAAATAACAACTTTGAAAACATATTAAAAAGCATCAGAAATTTTTAAAAAAGGCTTTCCTCCTTTGAAAACTATCTAGACCACACTTGTCTTGTAAAAAACAGTAGAGGATGCACTACCAACTGAAATGAAAGCTTTGTCTCTTCTCTTTCACATATGGGCTCTCAATTGATGTATAAACTATTTTGGAAAACAAAGCATAAGAGAGTCAAAATTACCAGGTTGATTTTGCTCTCAAGAACTGTTTTCTTCTCCCTTGTTTTGTAGTCTGCCAAGCTTATCATACTTTTGGCAGATACAAGGCAACCTTTTTTGAATCAGCCTCGTGAAGCTGGTTAATGCCTCTAGCAGCTACTGTTACCTGGCAGTACACATCAGGATTTTTTTTTATTGCTATTAATCAGTGAGCAGAACTGACATTTGGGATGTATATATAATAGACCAAGTGACTTTCGATAATCAAAAGATTTTGAAGACATTTGAAAGATGTTGGAGAGAAGGACCCTGGTTTGTTGCAAGAGGTAAGGTTTTAGAAATAAAACTTCATCCTTGTTTCATTTATTAATTCAGAGGTTGACATTTCTTTTTCTAAAAGAACAAACAACAAATTATTTTTTTGACTTTTAGGACAACGTATGTTTTTTTTGCTGCTGTGCTGCTGTGGCCTTTCCTCCTCCTCCTCCTCATCCTGCTCCTCATTCTCCTCCTCCTATTTCCTCTCTCTCTCTCTCTCCCTCCCTCCCTCCCTCCTTTTTTTTTCTCTAGCTCATGAACTGTACTAAAATAACTGTCATTCTCATGTGCCCCACAGGTGTCATATATAATCTCTGAATCACCACTTACCAAATGTTTTTAAGCAATATGATTATACCATCATAAAACATGATGTCAACCAGAAACTGATCAATGGACTACAATGGAAGAACAGTCTATGCTGTTTTATGGTAAGGTTTAGTTTTTGTTTGTTTGTTTGTTTTATGATGAGAACACCTAGCCCAGTCTTCAAAAGTAAGACAATTCATGATAAATTAATTAGTAGAAGGCAACCAATCACTATTAGTTTGACAAGGGAAGGATTTAGAAGTAAGCAATTTCTAGAAGAGAGAAACCTGTTTGTAGCCCTTAAAGAGCCAGAAAGAGACACAAAGTTTGAGAAATAGCAGCCTTTTTCAGTTGGAATTCTGAGAAGAGTGCATTCAGAAGGATAGAGAATAAGACAAGTGAGATTTTAGAAGTGATATAAAGCTTAACTTTTAACTTCAGGCCATGAGGAAGGCATAAGGTAAGTTAATATAGGGCATGAATTAAACCATTCTGGATTTTAAAGCTGTCTTTTTGATTGCTGTGAGAAGACTGAATTAAAAAAAAAATTCCAGACAAGAGAAAGGTCACCACTGGTGACTAGGTGGCAATGAGATACAGAAAAATAGCTAAGTGTGAGTAGCTAAATGTGACTGAAGCTGAAGTCTTATTTCTATAAACGCCTACCCACTTGGCATCTATACAACTGAACTGATGATATGTGCTCCCCTATTTGTCCCAGAGGATTTCTGTGAAGCTCAAAGGATAAGGAGACATGCTAACAAACTCAGCAGTATTCTTTATAAAGGCAGCAGTTTTCATTATCGTAGTCATGTAAATAAAAATTATTCAACGTGATAACTTTAATAAAACTATAGTGTGAAGAATGCTTAGTGACAAAGTAGGCATTCCCAGACCCTATCTAATCTCTTCTCCTCTAGACCTAGAGACCCATGATCTACTACAGTACAGCTTCTTAGAATTTGAGAGTTTTTTATAAATTAGCTCTACACTTCTGGCTCTTTTTGTGTCCTCTGTAGACTTACTTTAAAATTGGAAAAAGAGGAAACAAATTAATATCTTCAAATATACCCTATAATTCACAAGAGAATGCTCTTTGATTAAATTAGAAAAAAAAGTTTAACAATTTGCAGACATTCCCAAGACTTCAGGACAAAGGGTGGGGCTTCTTTGTTTGGAACAACAAATCATGTTTTTTATTCTCTGAGAGAAAGCAAAAAGGGGTAGAGGTAAAGAAATAGAGTATATGACAGAAAGAAATTAGGATGTAAGATTGAGTACTGCCTGAGGAAAGAGGCAGAAGAGGAGCCCTGTAGAAAAAGGATATCTAATTTCAATCTTAGGAAAGAGGGTATCTAATTTCAATTTTACGAATGTTTACTGGGTGATAAGCATATTTTCTTAATTTCTCTGTTTTTTCCAGCGCTTCTAGAAGTTCTACCTTAGGCATACTGCTGCATGAAAATACTATGAGGGGTGGATTTGGTTAATAATTGTGGTTGTAGCTGGTCATTGGTAAGGAAATTGAATTTTATTAAAAAAAAAAAAAAGGTAGCCTATGGAAGCAAAAAGTAAGGTGATAGAACAAGGGTCAACGTTGTGAAGCTTCTGCAAATTTTCAGAAAGCTGGGTAGAGTTCTTATTTGTGTAAGTCATCTAGTCGATGTCTCAGGCCATATAAAGAGCTTGGAGGGGTGGAAGGCCTCTCCACTTCCACATGAGTTCAGGACCATCAGGAGTTATCAGAATGCCTCCAAACACAAGCATAACCAAGTCTGATAATCAAATCTACACCTAAGAAAGCTTGAGAGGAAGTCAAGATACTGATAACCAGCTAGGAACTTTAATTAAATTACGAGGCTGTGTATGTGTTGTATTTGCTTATTATTACAAGATTTCCAGATGAACCAAAATTTTTCCTGTTGGTGAATTGGTTTTAAAAGTTAATTGTTTTATCTCTTTCTTCGTACACAAGAATGTAAAATATTAGAAATATGTGGCTTAATTTCCCCCTAATCATTTCAAAATTGCAGATGTAAAGCAACATTTGTATGATTTCTGGGAAGAAAATATTCATTTAGCCACTATATTGATGAAGCAATGAAATGCATAAAATATTATTTGCTGTGTAACATGATATTATAAAATTAGTAAATTTCATAGCCCTTCCCTGAACAGTGTAAGCATACAGAACTTTGGAATAAACATCTATGATTTAGTTAGCAAGTTTGCTACTAGATGGTTCTGGGAGCTTTGGTAAGTCAATAACTTCTACATCTTTGTTTTCTCACTTGTTAAGTGAAGAGTTCATTGAACTTTTCTTTAAATGCCACAATTCTGTAATTCGGTTATTTTTATGAATTAAAATGGAAATGTGAGAAGTAAGTTGTGCACCTATGTTGTTGTGTTAGGGATAATCAGAACTTTATGTCAGCATCACAAATTTAGAGTAATATGGATAGAACTATTTAATCTGGCCATTATAATCATAAACATAAGAATTACAGGGTTTCTCTCAGTACGTGCTACTAAACCTCTACTTTAACACATTGTGATCAACAGATCCTCAAGGAGATCTTTCTTCAAGAATACCTCTCAAGACAGAAAATCATTAGTTTATTTTATTTATGCTACAATCTGTTGATATGGAGCCTTATGACTAGTTTGAAACACTTATTTGGTTGACAATTACAAATGATAACAGTTAGGGATTTCATGAAAAGATAAGAAAAAATTCTTACCATTTTCTCTGCTCTGTGATTACAGGTCCCAATAAAAACCTTTCTTCCTCTTTTCTCTCCAATTTATTATATACAATATTATATTCTTCTTAGTTATGGTTTTCATGAACACATTCACAAATATATATATATATGTATATATAATTAGATATATACATATATATAAATATATCAGATATTCTTCCCAGTAATCAGAAAATATTGCATACCAGAAAGTAAATTAATAGGTCATCTGTATTAATATTGAAAGGAGTTGGCTTCTTTCAATATGTGTTTAACAACACTTTGGCAGTCAGAGCTAGATTCATTTTTTTTCACATCTAATGCAGTGCTCAATGCAAAAACAGGTAAGAGCATTTCAGTTTTAAGATGAAAAGAATCCTTGAAACATCATCTGCATTTGTCTTATGGAAGACTTGTAAATAGCACGCTCTTATCTTTCCATAGATGGTACTATTTTGAAATGCCAAGCAACCCTTTTTTGAGTATACTTTTACAGCCTTCATGCATAAAAATATTTCAGTAGCTGTAACTAAATAAAAGGCTTAGAACTCAATACTGTCTCTTTCGCTATCAGGAAATGTTGAAAGTGGACTCATCATTCAAAATGAGACATGTGCCAAATGAATGAAAGAACCAGTTGCGGAGAAGAAACAGTAGAGTCTGGGCAGGTTGCCCAAAGGGACACTTGGATTAACCTTCACATTGGAATTGAAAATGTGAATAATTTTGTCTTCATTTTTTCCAGATTCCAAAGTGAACACAGTCTTTGCACTGTGATACTTGTTTATTTCTTTTAACTAAAGCAAAGAGAAGGAAAGAGGAAATGAGAAATTGAGAAAGCCTAAAGGTTGAGTCCAAGGGCTGCTACTTACTTGTTTTATAGCTTCATGAATATATTGAAAACAATTTAATTTTGTTTTCTGATCTATGAATTAGATATTAGAATAATAATTGCATGACATAGTATTACTAGGATTAAATAAGAAATCTACATGTAAATATTATATACCTATATATAGGTATTCTTTAAAAAATTACTTATGTCATTGTTATTCAGATATATTAAGCACATACTGTATTGAATTTCATTGTATGTGCTGAGTGACCACTACACAAAATCAAAAGATTAAATTTGAACTTTGGATTTATAAAGCTTCTTTTGTATTTTAAGTAATACCGACGTACAAGTATTATTATGCCATAGTACAAAATTAATATCACACTGGATTTTAAAAATTGCAAGTATGGTTAAATTTATCATATGTTGTAAACCTTTAGAAGCTTAGAAAAGAAAATAAGATCAAAGGACTTAGTGCAGTTTACTTAAGAGAATAGCTTTTCTTAAATCATTAAGATGATGGTGTATTCCATTTGCCCCTTCAAGCCTACTTCAATTGTCTGTATTAGCTACTTGCCTCTGATGACTTTGGCTTGATACAGTCGATGAGCAAATAGGATTATCAACAGGATATCAAACAAATAAAAAAGGAGGAGAAATTCTATTTCTGGTCAAGGTAAAATAACAAATCATTGTCTTCCCTGAACAAAATTTAGAAACTTATTCATATATATATGAATATATAAATATAATATATTCATATATATATGAACTGAAGCTCTGGATATCATCAACTAAGTATAGATCAGTAAATCTATACTAAGAAAACTATTCCAGCTCTGGAGGAAAAACAATGGAAATTAGCAAACAAAATATTCTCTAACTGCATATATGTTTAAGTGTAGAGGATTGATAACCATATTTCTAAGTTTTTGTTGGATAGTTGAACAGTACTGGTTGCAATCTCACTGTTTGAATCCCCACTTTATATGCTCCAATTTAGTATCTTGAATAACTATTTGTAAGAAGACAATCTGTAATCATCAACTAGTGATTTCTTACTGTTTATTTTTCTTTGAAATTATGTATTATTTCTACCCGTTTTCTGTTTTTTTAGTCTTTCTTTAAATTCAGTTTTAAAAAGAAGACATTACAGTACCCAGTGCTTATCATGGAGTGTCATGAAGTGAAATCCAGCAATACCATTATTCTTTGTTCAAAACGATTTTAACCTGCTTTAGTATGTTTAATCTAAACATAAATGAAGATATGGATAATCGCATGTATGTTTAAATGTATAGGATTGACAACCATGTTACTAAGTTTTTGTTGGACAGTTGATTAGAACTTTTTGCAGTCTCTATGTTTGAATTCCCACTTTAAATGTTCCATTTTTGTACCTTAAACAACTATTGTAAAACGACAACATCAACTAGTGATTTATTACTCTTTTTTTTCCTCTGAATGTATGTACTATTTCTACCTATTTTCTGTTTTGTTTAATCTTTCTTTAAATAAAAAAAATATTCTCTAGCACTAATGCAGGTCAGGACCACTTTGTGTTTCTACCAGATACAGTGAAGGAAAACCTAATTATTGATGTGCCATTTTTTAATGGGAAAAAGTTTTTAAAACTATAACAAAATAATAGGAGGATAACAGTCATTAATACACTGCATATTGCTATCTTTAAAGTGGTTACTCAGAGTACAAGATATGGGCATAAAAATTCTCCCACCAATATTAACATAAGGTTTTCTTTTAAGTGAACCAATAGTACAACTAACTTGTATTTTTTCCTTTTCCCTTCCTTCATTTTCCCTTTCCCTCATCCTGTTATGAAGAATTTCTTTCCATTCACCATATCTATTGCACATTTTGGACTTTACGGATTCTTTCAGTTTCTCACACCAGGGAGACAATGTAACGTTTACAGCATGTGTCATTTAGTACAATATTCAAAATGGTGCCTTTTCAATAGTGAGAAAAAATATTTTTAAATAAAGCTGTTATGACTTCACAAAAAAATGTTTAAAATCAGCGGTTAAGCCATATCCTAGTAATTTAACTGTTTCCCTCGGATAAAATGAAATAAAACCTGGTTCATCTTGTAAGAATGCAAAATACTCCATATGTAACAAGTTGAACTCCCTGTCTATTAGCAGCAAATGTATATAGGAAGAGTAATCAATTAATAGAAATGGACCATCAAAGAATCTTAAAGATAGAATATGAAAAGATAATAAAAATAAATTTATTGTAACTATATTTCATGTTTTTAATAATATTGAAAAATTGAGCTGATTAAGTAGAGATAATGAAAAAAATGTAATATATATGTACATGAAACTCCTATCTATGTAAAACATAATTGAAATGAAAATCAGAACTGGGTAGATTTAAAGCAAATTAGATAATAAAATAAAAGGAATAATGAGGGTAAGGATATAGCAACAAATTCTGCAGTACTTCAGAGGGAAAAGAAAACATACGAAGAAAAAAACCTAAAAAAAAAGAGCACAACATTTGTGAGGTGTAGAACATCTGTAGAAATAGGACCTAACATGGGTAACTGAAGCCATCAAACTAGTGGACAGAAAGAACAATGAAGAAACAATGGCTGAAATTTTTTTACATTTCATGCAACTACAAACCTGTATCAAAAACAATGCTCAGCACAGACAAAATGAATGCAAATATGCCGGTATATCGTAGCTTCTGAGTATATGATAGTGAAGAGAAAATTTTAAGAATGCCTAGGGAAAAAAAGACTATTATGGAAGTAATAATAATAATACCACAAGATGAAGAAGGCTAAATCCAGAGTGCAGTACTGCTTTATTAGTACAAAATTGAAATATCACTCTCAGTTCTATTAATATATATTATTAGTATGCATTAATAAAAACAAGTAGGCTAGTATAATTCATCTCATCAGTATTATGAAAAGGAAAAATTATATAATCTTGTAATGTCAAAAAAGTATTATGCAAAATTTAATTTGCACATACAAGGAAAATATGCAACAGACTAGAAATAGAAAGGAAATTCCTAACTACAGTGAAGATCATCTACAAAAGCCTCTGCTTAACATATTTAATGTTTAAAAATTGTTTGTTTTTCTTTAAATGGTACAGTTGCTTTAGAGAAATACTTGGAGTTTTCTCATACAGCTACATATTAATGTAACATATAATATAGCAATTCTACTACTAAAAATTTACTCAAAAGAAATGGAAATATATTTATACAAAGACTTATACAATAGAATTGACAGCATATTCAATAATGAGATAAAAGTAGAAGGAACCTAATATCCAACAAGGGATAAATAAATTTGCCAAGCATGGTGGTACACATCTGTAATCTCACAACTCAGGAGGCTGAAGCAGGAGAATCACTGTGAGTTCAAGGCCAGGCTCAACTATGTAGTGAGTTCAAGTACAGCCTGAACTGCATGGCAAGATCTTGTCTCGAGAAAAGGCAAAAATCAACAAATAAATGTAAAAAAAGATACATTTACAAAACAGAATACTACTCAGAAACTAATATAAACACACTATAGATGATTTCTCCAAGGATAAATCTCAAAATATTCTATTTAATGAAAGAACATTTAAATTAAAGCTAACAACAAGTAAAATTAATCTACGTGTTAAAAGAATCATGGTTACCTCTTGATAGTAAATGATCTAATAAAAGGCACAAAGGAAAATTTTGTATTATACAATGGTCAAACTCATCAACATGGGTATTCTATTTTACAATGTGGACAGTATATTTGGTCTCAACAATGACAGCCCGAGGAAAGTTAGATGATGTTATAAATTAAAGAATTAGAAAACATTTGGAACCATTGTATTATGGTTTGTGTCCAGATGTCCCCCCAAAGCCTCATGCTGTCAGGGGAACAGGCTTCTCGAATATGTGATTGGTTTATGCTCCAATGCTGGGATTATAGGTGTGAGTGCTACATCTATCCTGGGCAGGTGGCCTGCATACAATACAAGGGAGGGAAAGAGGCTTATTTCTCACTCCTCCCTTTCTGCTCTTGATGTTTTTGTGTTTTCTGCCGCCATGAACAGTTACCCCTCTGCTACACTATCCTGCCTTGAAATCAGCCTACCTGGACTGAAACCTCCACAAACTGTGAGTTAGATAAACCTTTCCTTCCTTCATTTTGAATGTGAGGTATTTTGTCTCAGCAATGAGAGAAAAGTAACCAAGACACATGGACAAGACCAAGCTGTGTGTCAACAAAGAAAAATAAAAAAGAGAAGGTAGTGAGCAAGAGAGCTCATTAGTAAGTAAAATAAAAATGACCATCACATTGAAAAAAAAAGAAAATCAAATCTTGTGATCAAACTTCTAAGTAAGAATTAATAAAAGCAAATGTTGTAGTCAGAGTTTTCAGGGGAATAGTGTTAATGCAGGACAAACGTTTTAGAGATTATTTTATGATCACCTAAAAATTCAAGAGCAGAATAGTGCAATAGATCTTTCCACACACCAGAGACCCAGACAATCCGGCAGAGGCCCTGAATCCCACAGCAATGTCCTGCACAAATTGATCTGAAATTGGAGAGCCCATAGCAAAATTCTCCACGAGTTCAGCTGGAGGTCTAGAGCCCACAACAATGTCTCATGCAAGTCTGTATCAAGGATCTGCACCATGAAGGCCCAAAGGTCAGTAGTGGGAGCTAGAAAGTCTGTGCTACCAGGATGAAGGATCTGTGCCAGCAGACAGCATTTTGCACTAGAGCCAAGAAGCAACACCCAAGGCAAAGGTTCCCCAAAGAAAATTGCAGCCGTCCTCAGCAACAGTGAGGATGCAGACTCCTCTGATGATAACAGCTGTGTTCATACCAGGAAGACCATCATGACAAGCTTCTCAAGACAATCAACAGCATACCATCTCCCATCCAGTTCTCCTTTTATGCTCTGGCATCAATCCTCAGACAAACTTTCTACACCCAGAACCACATTGATTCAGTTTCATGGAATCATAAGTTGACCTTTAGTTAATCCACCACACAAAGTAATGAATAGAATCTAAGAAACAAAATAGTTTCTAGATAGATAGAGAGATGATAGACAGAGACAGAAACAGAGACAGTGAGACAGAGGCAGACTCATTTTTCCTTTCTCTAATGTCTTTGATGTCATGAATTCTCAAGTATATTTCTTAGCACTCATAATTGTTTAAAGAAAAACATATTTTTTCTTCTTCCTATAAATATTTACTACAATCTTGCACTGTGTTGTTATTTATGCTAGAATGGATAGTTAAACTTCTTTTCATCATTTATGGCACTTCCCAGGAAAGGGAGAAAAACTTCTTTATATTTGATTAAATACAAGTGCTTTATGAGCAATTTTTAAGCATACCCCTCATTGTTATATGATCTTGTAGCAATTCTGCTGCCCCTGACCTCTTGCATATAAAAAGAGAAAAAAACTTCTATCGCTAGTTAGGAAGACAGCTTTATGGTATTATAATATGTGTTTGAGTCAATTGACAGATGTTAAAAAAATTAAGTAAAATGAAACATTTTTCTTTTTTTAAAATTTTATTTAAAAGGAAAAAGAGAAAAAACAAAACAAAACAAAGCAGTGTAAGGGTATAAATAATACAGAACTACAAAAAAAACAGTAAGAAATCACCAGTTAATAGACTACATATTATCATCTTAGAGATAGTTGCTCAAATCACAGTATCAAAGCATACAAAGTGGACATTCAAACAGTGAGACTGCAAACAGTTGTATTCAATGATCCAACCAAAAACATTAATATGGTCAGCTATTTAACACCTCTAAACACACTTGCTGTTGTATCCTTTAGAGCTCTTTTTTTCCCTCTCTTTTTTACAA